TTTAAGACCACTACCATCCGTCGTCTGCGAGAACCGGCGAGTCCCCCCCCCAACCCCCGACACTTTTCCGGAGGGCTCAATCCAGCGCCCCATTCGGGATTCCGATTTCTTGCATCACCCCTATTTAATCCTTCCCTTCTCCCCAAAATCCACTGACGTTTTTTTCCAGTACTAATAATTTAAATTCACACATCAATCTGCACGTGTGACGTGACTTGATCCCATAGCGTCATGACTGGCAAAAGCTAGCACGCGGGAAAGCTTCATTAAGCTTTTGTGAATGATTAAGTGATGAATGGTGTGACAAACAGGAGACTTCTCAGAGTCTTCTCCCAGAACCCATGGCCCTTCAGGCTTCAGATTCTCCACAAAAGGTAGACAGATTCCCTTTAAAGACAGACTCCAGAGAAAACAGTTGCACAGAATAGAGGCTTGCTTTCTTAAGTGTTCAGATCAAAGCCCCCCACCCCAGCCATGAGCCCCACAGTAGTCTTTCATTGATTTAGATGTGTCTGCTATCTTAATTAAACTTTGACTCCATAATGAATACATGTTGTAAATATTTTAGCTAACTATGACAATGCTGTTTACTCCAAGCACACTCAAGACAACCTCCTTCGCCTTAACTCAAAACAGATGAGGGAGATTTTTGTAGGGGAAATAAACTACTTGGTAAAACATGGGGTTCCTTCATTATGTCACAGATCTTTCGAGTGTACCGATGAAACTCTGAAAACGAAAGAGGATATTTGTCCCGGGCAGACGGCAGGCAACATGTTAATAAGTAGCATACAATGGGGGATTAGCCCAGCTCATGGCCGGTGTTTCTCTATTTGATCAGTTTTACCATTTCAGCAGTTTTCCACCATGCAAATAAAGTGATATTTTTGGCTCACCCCCGCTGCAGACAGAAAACAATTAACCATGACGCATTTGGCAGTAAGGGCGGCGGAGTTGCTACGGCCGTGACAGAGGGGTGGGGCGGCAAGGTGGAAGTGGCGGAAAGACTCACCCAGGCCAAGTCGTCCCGACTGCAGTCCAACGCGGCGACCATCACCTGTTCATATATAATCCAAACTGGGAGGGGATGGAGGGGGAAGAGACAAAAAATATGTGGGTTTCATTTCAACATCTTGCATCTGTGGTTGGTTGGTGGTGCAATAATATAGCTGCAAGAGATCAGCTTTGCATGGCATCTTTTATTAAAGCTTGACATGCAGGAGACCTTCAAGTGCATTACACTTAGGGACACGGTGCAACCAAGAAAGAAAATCTATGGTGCAAAAGCACAGTTAAACCAAAAATGACATTCTGCCCTTTCATGTCTTTTCCTTAAATTCAGCATGCATTGCAACATGATCATGACACACAAATTAAATAAACACCTCTAAGGTTAAAAAAACTGAAAGAGCGAGCTCTCCATTTGAAACAAGGATTTCATCGTTTTTTTTTTCTTTCGACACATCGAGACGTCAAACCGAGTGTGGTCATACGGTGGGCACGGAGACACACCATGGAGGGATCGCTTCCAAATAAAACAGGATGAGAGAATGTGACGTTCGTTCGCTTGCTGCTGAAATATCCAGCTGAGCCAGACGGATGATCGTCCTCGATTTGCTAAATGTCACACTGATGTTTCATTTAAAAGTTGCAGTCTTTGGCCTGGGAACTTTATTTAAAAACACATCTGTGCAGAAGTGACCTTATTTTCCTTATAGCTGCCTCATACGTCTTCCTTTCACTCAGTGAAACGGTGTGACTGAGTGTCTCCCAAGCTTGCCTGAAAAATGGGTGAGCAATACATGCCACAACTGCCCTGCAAAACCATTTCAACAACCATTATTAAATATATACAAAACTAGTATTAAATACACATATTTCAGATTATAACTCTCTCTCTCCCATCATATCTCGACACATATATGTGTGTGTATACATACGCAACTACATTATATATGTATGCAAGTATAAACTATGTAGGGTCACTCTTTTAAAGAAACTTATTTGAGCAAGTTGGCCAATTCTGTCACTTTCTAGGCACAGTAAAAAAAGAGCTATAGAGGAGATTATGCCATTGATACAGTCCATTTAGGCTAAGAAGTGCATCCTCGCTGAGCATCTAGTAACTGTTTACACTGTTCAGACCTCAGACAAAATACTTCAGCCTCTGTTGTCAGATAGATTTAACTCAGCCCTAGCTCCTAATTGGCGAGCTGAACTCATTAACTGGATAGGAAGTCACCTCACCTTGCGGTCAGGGTGCAGACCAGGCTAATTTACAGGTAAATCAAACCAGCTGGGGTCCAGGTCCTAGAGGACTGGAGCTGTCATGCTCTTTCGGGCTTTCTGGAACACATTTACATAACCTGGCTTTTTTAAATCCTGTACATTCAGCTCACGCGGTGTACCCCATAACTTAGCATACTGTATACTCATATAACACAGTAGGCCTTAACTGCTGTAACCCCGTTGGTCACTTTACCCTGATGTGTGGGTGGCCATGAGAACGCTACTTTAAAGGCCAAAATGTTTCCCAAACAAAGTGGTAAAACATGGCGGAAAGATGTACTCAGACTCGAAATAAATTTAGAATGTTCCATAAGCTTTTTGAAACAAAAAAATACACCCATTTAAAGAATGTGTTTTAACATGAAGTTACACTCATCAATTGTTTTAAAAAAAACCCATTAAGGTTCATTTACTGAGTTTTCACGTGGGTGCTTTCACAAAATAATCAGAAGAGTGCCCCTGTTAAACAATCGCAGCCACAATGCTTAGCGAATAAAGCACATAGCATTGTGCATTTACTACTAAATTTTTGGCAACATAAAGTTTATTTAAAGAGTTTATCCTCTCCTCCGCTGTCAAATAGGAAGAGAATCTGATTAATAGGGGTAGCTAATGGATCCGGTTAATGGAATGGGTTTTTAAGACTCAGAAGTGTGTTTTCATAATCTTGCCAGACTCCCCTTAGCCGAATGATTTAAATGTGTTAATTGAGTAAAAAAAAACATTAGAAGTCCACTAAACATGAAAACTGATATGCCAAAATAAACAAACGCCTGGAGTTTTTCTAGCAGTTTTTATGATTCCAGCTCAGCTTTGATAATTGCCATCTTGTTTCACAGCCAATTTAAGAGCTGGTTTAAATAAAAGCAGGCTGTGCAAAGTGTTTGCCCTGCTCTTTAAAGTCTGTTTTTGTAGTCATTATGATTCATACATACTTCAAGAGACCCAGGAAATAATGCATGAATGTCAACAAATCAGCCAAATTGTATCCTAATAAACTCTGTACAGGAGGTCAGAGGAAATTAATTCAGGTCAATATCATTGTGTATATATTCATCAATCCATACTGACACATGCTGCAACTATACAGTAATAAGAGATAGAGAACTATTCCTGGGAACTTAGCTGAACAATAGTTTTGCAGGAGAATGTTTTTTCAAATTCATATCTATAAATATGCAGGGAAATTAAATTACATTTCTGCAATTTGTGTGACCTCTGAGGTTATCTCAGGATTGCAACATGTTATGTTGTAATGAGTAGTAAGTTAATCATAGATTTTCTTAGAACAACTTTGTTACATTTGACATATTATTTTGACATTTTAAAAAAAAGGCATTTTTATTTTTATCAACTTGTGGTGAGCCAAAGGGCAAAACTCAGGAGGTATTTTTCCATTTATATGGTCAGTACATACAGCATACAAACCATAGGAGTTAGACTAGTTAGGCTACAGAGGAAATTTTTTTGTGAATTTTTAGCTAATATCTGGTTTGTTTATTTTTCTTAACTGAAAAGGTTCATTATGCTTGCTATTATAAAGGTACTGTGCAGCAGTATTTCTCAACCAGTTGCAAGTAACAGTGTACTCCCCAAAGATTACAAAATCCCACAAAACACTGATTTCTCCATGAAGTCTGATTTCCACACACTACACATTTAAAGTACAACCAACAGCATTCACTTTCAGTTAGAAACCTGAATTGGGATCAGTTCCTTCTTTTAAGACTGGTATAAATTCTTAGTCACACTTTACCACAGGGATTCAATAAAATGAATCTAGTCTCATTAAAGGTACCAATTGTGTTTGTTACAAATTTTACCATTTGTTGCTTTTTACCCATTTAAAAGCCATGTACAAAGAATGTGCAAGTACCCCACAGGACAACAATCTGCATACTGGTTTCAACTTGACAACAACTGACAAGCATCCTTACGCGATTGTTACATTTTCTTCTCTTACTCTCTCATATACTACTACAATCCACAAAAGTATTATTCAAAAGTATTATACTTTCACAATGAATATATGAATATTCAATGTGGAAAAACATGAAAAATATTCTCAGAATCTGACAGGGCAAATTCTTTTTCATAACACTACATACTCACATAACACTGTAATAGTTACAACTGTAACGAGCAAACCATGACTAGTCATTTTAGTATTTTTTTTTTGGATGGCTAACATAAGGAAGGAAGCTTTGTGGGTATATTTCCATTGCTTTCTCATCAGCAACTGTTGACATTTTAAGGTAGACCAAAATCTGGATAATGCTGCTATTTAGCATGTTTGCTAACTGCTATCTAGCTACAGCATAATTCTGCATAACCATGACCACATACTTACACTATATAGACAAAATAGACAGAAAAATGGACACATCAAATGAAAAAGGATACACAATTTGAAGAAACTACATCTCAGTTAAAAAGAACTGAAAAAAGAACCATGAGTTTCATGCTGCCATTGAAACTCTGAATACAAGCCTGCATTTCTGTCAGCCCTTACTACTCAGCAGCTTATTTTTTACTCTTCACTGACTCCAAAATAACTGTTTTTCTGCATTATATTGAAACACTGAATATTACAGTTTATTGATAAACAAACACTACATTTTACAGACATTTAGCTGACACTTTTATCCAAAGCGACTTACAGCTGATTAGGCTAACCAAGGGCCAACAGGTCCCCCTTAGGGTTTGGTCAACAGCAATGACTGGGGCTTGAACCAACGACATCAGGAGTCCCAGTCATGCACTTTAGCCACTAGACTACAGGCTCCCTCAAACGAAACATTACAAAACACCAACTCTGATGTCATTCAGTTTAGGCATCGCAGACTCCGCCTACGACCCAAGCACTCATTCCTCTTATGCACAAATCTTGCAGGCCATCTAAAACGAAAGACATACAAACAGGATATAATCTGCTCGTTAAACATGGTTTCCAAGCTAAGGTGGCTGGCTTAAAAGTCAAGAAAACAAAACTCTCAAGCCAGGGGACTGATTAAAATTGCGGTCATTTATGAAGGTGCTTATAACCACGTACAATCCTGAATCAAATTTTAAGAAAACGGGTTAACCAAATCATTTATTTTGATTACGGTAACTAAAATGCCTGAAACGAATTCAAAGTAATGGAATGCAAAGAAATGTGAATACATGTAATTACATTATATTGCATGCATATATATTATTCTATTAAATGATGAAATTAGACACATCCAATTTATTAATTCCTATGTTTTGCTATGCAAATACTGAAATTTCAGACTTGTGGAAGATGTTTTTCTACCACAGATTTTTGAAAAGCCCACTGTGGATTTCTCAATTTTTTCCCAACCAATGGATTAAACTTCTCAACCTCAAAACTCCAAAGCTCATCTATTTCCAATTCTCAGTTTCAGTCCTGCATCTGCATCTTAAGAGGCTTTGAGGTCTATGGAGTGCTCAAGAAACCCATAGTTTTGCTTAAAATTACAGAAAAATTAAAGATTGTTGCCACTGTCTTCTTTTCTGGGCAAAAATTATGGAACCACTAATGTGGATATGGCCAGCTATTTAGGCTGAATAACTTAAAGTTGAATAACTTCTGTCTGTTTTCAAAACTAGTGGTGATTTTAATCTACATAATGACTATTGGTAGTAATTGAGCTACTTACTGTCATCCCCAAGCTTAGACGCGTGCTCGTTAATCAATTCTTCTCCGACGTCCACGATTTGCTCACTGTTTCTGTAATTATCTTCTCTCCATTTTCTCAGCTTGTCTCGCATTTCTGTCGAAAGAAAAAACATTAAAGAATGTGAATCGTCGGTGTCCATGTATATACGACAACTTATATTGATGTTTAAATGCTAACTTAGCTACGAAAAAACAGACTATCTAGAGCAATTACCTAGCTAGCTTGCCAGCCAGCAGTTGCGTTTGAGGGAAAACTCATGCAGTGGTTCATAAACGGCATGCAGAAATGAGTACTTGATGTACATTTAAACTATGCACATTTAATGATGCACTGTTTTTCCATTTACATTTCTGATGAAACAGTACCTCATAGTAGAAAATTCCAATTTAGGACTGAATTGAGGATTTAATTCAAAATGTAACCACATGCCCAATGAATATGACAGATTTCCAAGAGCCCACAAAATATTAAGACATTCAGGCCAATTTTTCAGTTGTTTGTTAAATTCCAACTTAGATCTGATATTTTGTACTCTAAATACCAATTCAGGACAAATTTATATAGCAGAATGTATGCATTTGAGGACAGGGAGCATGATAGTTCAGGCTTCTGAAAAGTATAGATATAAACTGTTCTGAAGTGAAGCAAAGGCTAACCAACTGACAAATATCTCAGTGACAGGGCACAATACCTCTGTTCTGACTTAATTTTTACTCAGCCTACAGCCAAATTTTGTTCAGAATCCATTCACAAAGCCAAAAGAATAGGTTTGTTAGAAAAGTATAACAGTTTCATCTTTTAAAGTGTGTCATTAAGTCATAGGAATATTTTTTAATGAAAAGCAGTTAGAAATGAAAATGCTTTTTCATGAAAAGCGCTGCTCGGTTCCATTCTCTGTTACTCCTCTCTTAAAATTCAGTTCCTGGCCCAGCATTAATATTTAAGACCAATGATTGATTTCAAACCAAAGGAAATGCCTATCACGTTTTCTAAAGCAAATGTAAGAAAAAAGTGTGATTATGAATGCATTTTCCAATTTAAAACATATTTTGGAGGACTTAGATGTAGTGCTTCTCTGATATATCTTTTTTAGTTTTATCTTGGCCCACCCTCAATTCAAAGCGAACGCTTCCACCACAACACCGTTCCCCCACTGACTCAGGAAGGAGTGGCCAACAGCACCAATTCTGCTGATCAAACTGTAGCCAAGTTCACCTCTTGTTCACACTGCAGACATGTCACTAATCACACATCACCTATTGCTGTTGGGGGACCACAGAGTCAGCACATGCTCAGTTCAAGTGCTTGCAGTTCTCCACCCAGCCAGCAGTGGCTGCAAGAGAGCAATGAGACTGGTGAACCCAATCAGTGTTCATGCCATATCATTCCCCAGTGAGGCTGACCCAACTGTCACCTCCCCAGTGTGAACCTCCAGCTACAGCCAGCAATGGAGCGGCTGGGATTTGAAAACCCACTCACGGGACTCATAGCTGCACCTCAGACAAGCACCTTTAATGCAGGAGGCATTGATTTTGGAGCTTGGTCTCAAAGGATTTCATGTCAACATACCCATTTTGGTCAGATTTTAACATATAGATATCATCTTTACATCTGCATCCATACCATTTGTATCTTTGAGATGAGGGGTGAATGTAGGGGAAGTATTTTACAGTAGGTCTGATCTTTTGAAAGATCATTTGATTTCAATAAAACATGGGTGGTGTCCCAGGAAATTCAGAACATAACTGGTATCTGTGAACCAATAGGCTACCATTTCCTGCCTGTCAAGTTGGGGGAACGGATTCCATCTCTAATAGTTATACAGAGCGAAGAAAATTGATTTTGGTATTTATTCAACCATGATGGCAGTGACTTTGGATTATGGAGCACTAAAATAACAGATCTTTCAGTGCTTCCATTTGTTCTTCGACAGTGATGACTTTGAATAAGTTAATGTAAATCTGCCATAACAAATCCTGAAATTATGGAGAAATTTCTATCTCAGCACAGATCATTTAATTGGACATTCTCACTTAATTAATGATGCTTTACAAATCAACTGCCACTAATTATAACTGGTCAGGACATGTGAAAAACTGTCCACAGAGGAAGAATTTGGAAATTTGACAGCATTGTTCACAGATGAATTGCACAGATGAACTGGATCAACTTGTGTTGTTACCGCTGTCAAAAAGTCTTCTTCCCATCCATTTCCCTATTCACCAGTGGCAGCTGGCACCAGCAAGTGAGTCAATTGGCCTGCCATTGAAATTGATGTGTTTAGGCTGCATCTCATTTCTGGGAGTGTGTTAGGCCCTTGGGGCTTGATGCAATTTTTGTGTTAATGAGAGGTCTGAGCTGTGTAGTTAGATTCACTGTCATCCAAAGTGATCTGAGCTGTCAAACACGGCAAGAGATATTTTCTTTTAGTTTCTTTGATAATCAGTGTCAGAAAACATATATAGCTGTAAAACAAAGTTCCTTTGCAGCACACTGGCGTGTATTCTATTATGGTCCCTCTCAAACTGATATTCCACAATCTGATGTTAGTGTGGGATGTGCTAAAGCTGACAGTCAGCCTGACATTCACGAAGGGGCCACCGCGGGTAGGGTAGGCTAGGACATGTCCCTCTTGCAATGGGAAAACTGAGCATAGAAGTACCATTAACATCTGATGTCAGCTTTTACTTAGCTAAAACAGCTACAGTCATAGACCAGTAATATAACATTACATACCACTGTAATATATCCAGCTGGACAGATACTTAGACTAAGCGGATTAGCCAGTTATGTTGCTAAGATATAAGCTTGCTTTCTTGTTAATGCAAATCATACACTGTAGCAGCTCAATAACGTACTGTACAGTCAGTGTGATGACAATGGTATGATGGCAACTCCTTATAAACCCCTTATTATGCATCTGCCCTTATAATATACAAGTGTAACTACAAACTAAGACAATGATTGTGTGTGTGTGTGTGTGTGTGTGTGTGTGTGTGTGTGTGTGTGTGTGTGTGTGTGTGTGTGTGTGTGTGTGTGTTGATGGGAGGGATGGAAATAGGGAGAGGGATTGGGAGAGGGTGAACTCCATCCCCCTTCCCAAAAGATGTGCAAGAGCAATAAAATATCAAGCATAATCATTAACAACATTTTTTATAAGTTTTGCATGAAATTGCCATTACTTGTGCTTGATGTGACTTTCCCCATATTTTCTAGGATCCTATGTTGTGCGCAACTGTCTTGATTGTCCTCACAAATAACAACATAAATAATACAACAAATGCACCTAACAGAGGAATGTAAGACCAGGACTGTTCTGGAATAAAACTTGCAAATGTGAAAATAAAAATGTGATGTATAGGTGGAGAAATACAGTGCTGAAATAGAAACCAATTAGGAACTCTGTCAACAATTTAGACAACACTGGCCATATAGAAAGGACAGGAAAAGGTCCAGTAGATCCAGTTTGTTTTACACCACAAGATTCGGGCATTCATACACATATCTATCTTGACTATTTGTGATGTTTCGAACCCGTGTGTCGAGATTAATGAAACTGCATACGATGATCGGATCATATACTTCCTTGACATTAGATTACCAGGCACATACATCGCAACTTAATCATGCGGTCGAACTTTTTCCGTTTTGTCATCCAAACTTTGATAAGCAGCCATACATTCACCTTTAACTGGTTTTTCTTTTAAGTCTACACATACCCATTGGGAAAAACGCTACGCTCCAAGGCAGTACCAGTTTCCGTGGAAATGAATGTGATGATGCATACAGTGTATAGCATTAGCAATGACACATTTTATGTGACCTGGGCGTTAGTTACCTAGTTTATTAGCCAACAATCTTTCGTATGAGCATGGTTTACTTGTATGCCATTCACGATTAACTACACAACATTGCGACCAGCTAGTGAATAAATATCTATCTTTGTAGCTGGCCGACCATCTTGCCAGCTGTCAAACTTGAAGCATTGGGTATCGCTCGGACAATTATAGACCACAGTAAAACAGTACATAGATAACGCTGTGGGACAAGACACGAAAATCGCATTAAATAAGTAACTGGATCTGCTTGTTCTGCATT